TCCACAGTAGTTGCACCATTTTACACTTCCACCAACAGTGAATAAGGGTTCCAGTTTCTCCACAACCTCGCCAGCATTTGTTGTTAAATTTTGTTCTGTTAAATTTTGCTTTTCTGAGATGATATCTCATAGTTGTTTTGATACAGTTGCCTTTTTTATCTCTTTAAAAAATTAATTTATTCTCTGTATTGGGATTGTATTAAACATGTAGATTGCTTTTGGTAGGATTGGCATTTTTACTATATCCATTTTTCCTATCCATGAACAGGAACATTTTTCCATTCATTTAAGTCTCTTACAGTTTCTCCTAGTAGTGTTTTGTTGTTTTCTTTGTAAAGGTCTTTTATGTTTCAAGTTAGGTTTATTCCCAACTATTTCAATTTGTGTTTAGCTGTTGTAAATGGTTTTGCTTCTTATTTTCCTTATTTATGTTTTCTTTGTTACTATAGAGGAGTCCCAATGGTTTTTGCACATTGGTCCTGCCATTCTTCTAAATTGGTCTACTGGGTCTAATGGGTTTATGGTTTCATCCTTGGGGTTTTCTGTGTACACTGTAACAGGCAGAGGGATAGACAGTGTCCTCTGGTGTGATTAATTGCCTCTGAAAACCTACTGGAGGATCAGCAACAGTAACAACATAGTGATAGTTTTACAACTCTTTGCTGATATATTCCTCATATTCCCTTCTTATTGCCTACAAAGTACTTCTAATACAATACTGAGTATTGTTGTTGATTGCTTTGAGTCCCCTGTTACTCATAGTGACCCTATGAACAAAAGGCCTGAAGTCTTTCTAGAACTATCGACATTTATCTAAGTTCAAAGAGTTTCCACAGACATGTCTTTTAGGAATTGGACACCACCCTGCTTCTGAATAAGAGTGTTGAAAGTGGCCATCCTTGTTTGGTCACTGTTTGTCTTTAGTCTCTCTATTGAGAATGCTGTTAGCTCTTAGTTTTGCATATACACTCTTCACTATGTTGAAGAAATTCCCTTTTCCTAGTTTGCTGAGTGTTTTAATTAGGGAGCGGTATTGGTTTTGCAAAGGCGTTTTCTCCATCAATTGATAGGATCATGTGGTTCTTGTTCTTTGTTTTGTTCCCATTGAAGTTCTTGTCTTCCAGCTCACTGACTCTGTTCTGCTTTTTGATACCTCCAAAATGCTGGTCCCTTGTGCTATTTTGGTCTTGATATTCTGTATTGCATTTTCATGCATTTCTGATATTTTAAGTACTGTGTTGGCTATACCCACTCTATGCTGTGATGATGTTTAAGTTCTTGTACCTCTTTATCCATGGTTTCAATTATTTCTTCCATCTTTTTAAAATTTCTTCTGTAGTTGTTCTTGTTTCTCTGCATTGATGTATTTCTTTTGGCTCTCTGTTTTTGTAGTATTTGCTTTATATATGGCTTCCATTCAATCTTGAAAATTTTGCACCTTCTTCTGTAGCTATCTATGTAACTCCACATCAGTGTATTTCTTCTGATTCCCTCTCTGGGATAGTCCCTTTATTTATGACTTTCATTTATTCTTCCATCATTGTACCTTCTGTAGTAGGTGTTCCCAGAATCAGTATGTTTCTTCCGCCTCCCTCTCTCTGGAATTTTTAATTTGATCTGCAGAGTACAGAGCACACAATTTAATAGCATCAATTCTTCTCTGATTCCTCATATACTGTACAACTTTCATATATGCTGTGTGTGAAACAATTGAAAAGACCATGGCTTAAGCAGGTGCCCTTAGTCCTTAACTGAAGTCCTTGCTCTTTAGCACTTTGAAGAGGTCCTTGACAGCAGATTTGCCCAATATAGTAGAGACATAAGATTTCCTTTCTTTTTTCTACTTCCATAGGTGTTGATTGTGAATCCAAAAAAGCGACATCTTCAACAGCATCAAACTTTTCTCCATCTACCATAATATTGCCTATTGTTCCAGTTGTTAGGATTTTTGTTTTCTAGATATTGAGGGGCAATCCATAGTGAAAGATGCAGTATTTCATCTTCAGTAAGCACCTCAAGTCCTCTTCACTTACATCAAGTAAGGTGGTGTCATCTCCATAATGCAGGTTATTACGAGTCTTCTTCCAGTCCTAACGTCATGCTCTTCTTCAATATAGTTCGGCTTTCCAAATATTTGCTTCAAATGCAAAATAGGTGTGGGGAAAGGATACAATCCTTACACGCATTCCTGATGTTAAACCATGCATGATCCCCTTGTTACCTTTGAGCCACTGCTTTCTAATTCATGTGCAGGTTCTACATGAGCGTAAGTAAGTGTTATGGAATTCCCATTCTTCTTAGCATTCTCGTTAATTTATTATGGTCCACATAGTCAGACGGCCTTTGCATACATAAACAGTACAAAACAAGGAAACAACTTTTTTATATTCTCTCCTGTCGGTGAAAATTCACCTGACGTAGTCACTGATACATCCTTCATTCCAGGGCTGCTGCTGAATCCAGCTTGAATTTCTGGCAGTTCTCTCGTCATTGTACTGTTCTAGCAATTTTTAAATAATCTTTAAGAATTTACTTGTATGTGATGTTAGTGATATTGTTTAATGATTTTCACATTCTGTTTGATCACATTTATTTGGCATGAGAATAAAAAGTGATCTCATCTTCCACATTTTTTTCCATAGACAAGTGAGCATATCCACGGCTACATTTCTTTGCTGAAATACCTCCAATGATAGTCCATCAATTCCCGGAATGTTATTTTTGCCAGTGCCTTCAGTGCATCTTATACTTTTTCCTTCAGTGCCACAAGTTCTAGACCATGCTCTACTTCCTGAAATAGTTCAGTTCTTTTTGGTACAGTGATTTGGTACAGTTTTTACTTTGTTTTATTAATTATACAAAGGCATTTCATTGTATAAATTATGGATAATATTATGAATGATATTTAGAAAACTGGGCATCCAAGAATATTTAATTGTGCTCATGTGAAACTTCAACCTAGTTCAAGGAGCTGTTATCCAGATTGAACAAGGGAAGTATTATATTTTAGGGCATTATTTTTATTGTAGGCGTATGCAATGAGGGTTGCAGAGTGGATTATATTTGGGGGTAGGGAGTGGGGTTTGGGGAGGTGCGGGGGGGATTGTGTACCAATGAGGGAGTTTTTCTTTTGCTTTTCAAGGAGAGGAGCAAAAGGGAGGGGGGAGGGGTGTGTGCGGGGAGAAGGGTACAACAATGAATGAATGGAATCCCAAAATCTCTGTAGATGTTCATTGAAATGAAAAATAAACAACCTAAATTTTAAAAAAATACTTTAACACAACATTTTTAAAAGTTGCAAGTACTCTAAGACAAATCTTTATTATTCTGGATGTTCAAAGATGATTTCTGGATGCAAATATGAAGGAAATTATCCTAGAAAAGGTAAAATATTAACTCAGGCCATGCACAAATGTGATGAGGGAAAGGCAGTCATAAGGAGAGGAACTTTGAGCAAAGTTTTGGAAATGGGAAAATATGGTATGTGTGTAAAAAAGCACACCAAACAATAGAAACACACAGTATAGGCTCATGCAATTATTTTCTATTAAAAAGCTTAAATATTATAAAATAAATTTAAATTGTGCAACATGTTAAAAGACAACAGATTTGAATTCTTCAAACAACATTCGTGTCATGAAATAAATGATAAAGAGGGGATATAAAAGCATAGAGGGGGAAGTATTTTAATGGAAAAAATTCAACTCATTCCTATGGGACTTAGTTTTCAGCTAAACAATAAGTAAATAAGGTGAAGAGGAATTATATCAGTAATATCAGACGGCACTTACTTCTTAGAATAAGCAACTGTATAAGGGCAAAAGAGCAGAATTTGCCTGAGGATAAATTCCTGAAGGCTAGAAGGGGTAGGAGAAAAGCATTCATGGAAATCAGAAAGGCAGGGAAGAAGTTGGGAAAGCATGACAACATTGTGGGCATTGTAATTAATGTTATAAAGCAAAATGTTTATGACAAACCAATATGGTTTGTGAACTTTTACTCAAATCATTTTTAAAAATAATAGGAATACATTATGAATAAAATCACTAAAAAGTAAAAAAAAAAATACACATTGTTTGAGAAGATGAAAGAGAATGTGGCATCAGGATTGGAGGAAGACTCACCAGCAACATGCATATGTAAATGATACAACTTAATGAAAGTGAAGAGACTTGAAGCACTAACTAAAGAGTTAGGTCTTTCAGTCCTTAGAACTGGATCAGTAGGCAATATAATAGATGGAGAAAAAATTGAGGTCAACAGTTTCATTTTTTATATCAATAGCAGTCAGTGAGCCCATTTGGAAACCTATGGTACTTCTTAATTATAATCAACCAAGTTCTCAGTAAGTTGTAAGATTAATTAAATTAGTCCTGTTGGCCTGTTTCAAATTGGGCTTTTGAGTTAACTGTAAAAAGGTGATGAGTACACAAATGCTTGGGAAGATAACAGACCTCAATACCTCCTCTAATAATGTGTGTTTTAGCATTAATGTTTTTTGTCATCCTCCACTTAAAATGTGCTTATCAGGTTGTGGTGGTGGTGGTTTTTATGTGCCATCAAGTCACCTGTGACTCATAGCAACCCTATGTACAACAGTCCTAAACCCTCTATCCTGTGCCAATCTCACTATCTCCGGCACACCTATTCTCATTACCTCATTCACAGAATCGATCCTTGTGCTGTCCTTTTCTTGTGCTGTCCCTCCACCCTCCCAAGCATGGCATCCCTCTCGAAGGACTGGTCCCACCTTGTAACATGTCCAAAGTATGTCAGACGAAGCTTCAGGATCCTTGCCTCCAAGGAGCAGGAACGGGTAGCAACAACAAAAATATTTGTTTAAGCTTCCTTGCTCTGGTACCTTGTTGCCAAGCAATTGAAAAGTTTCTCTAAAGTATTAAATAGGGAATTCCTAGTTAGGATTTCCTAATTAAGATCCTAGATCTGCCTGTTTATCAGACTGTCTCATGTCACTTTGTTTTTTTAACACTTTATTTCAGGTGGAATTTATCCAGAAATTTTCCCCTAAAGAAGCAGAAAACTTGTCTCTGTGGAAGTATCTTTCCTTCCAGGCTTTACCTTCTGATCTCAGGAAAGAAACTGCCAGTGAGGTCACCAGAGCAAGTATTGCCCAGTGCAGGGAATGGCTGAGAAGCAGTCGTACTGTGGGAGAACTTCAGTCGCTGGTAAGATGATTTTGATTGATTCATTCAATAGCTACTTATTGAGCACTTTTTAAGTATTGGGGATAGGCTGTATATAAAACAGACATAGTCACATTTCTGAATTGTAAAAGGATCTGTGAGGAACTGATATCTGGATTAAGGTTAATTGTATTGGGCAAAGGAGGGTGGTTACTTTATCACTTAAGACACACAGGAATAAGAGTAATAAACAAACATTAATTCTTCTGACAAAATTCAACTCCCATTTTAAGTAAACTTAATCTAAGCCTTTATGTTTCTACTTAGAATGTCCTCTCATAAAATAATAGAATTAATAAATCATCTTCTATAGAAGTAGGCAATGTGATTTTTTATTTTCCGTTGAGTGAACATAGTATATTTTGCTGAATATTCAGGAAATAGTGTTTTGGTTTAGTGTTCATTTAACATACGTTTCTTGAGTGGTCCTAGGGAGCTCTTGGTGGCTTAATGGTAAGGAATTGCACTGACAACTCAAAGGCACATGGTTCAACTCTACTAGTTCCTGCATGGGAGAAAGATATGCAGCCTTTTCCCCTATGATTTACTGCTCTGAAAACCTGCTGCAAAATCAGCCGAGTCAGTTCTAACGTGACAGTTTGTAATAACAACGTGCCAAAATCTGTACTAGTAACTAGGAATATACCAGGTAACAACACAGACAAGAACTTTACTCTTACAGACTTTCATTTATTTAACAGTCACTGAAAAACAAGTATTTCTTAATATTTGCTTATGGAATGCAATCTTGCTGAGCAATTTTAAAGATCATTTATAAAACAACAACAAAATGAATAGATTGCTGGATTCATAACATTAAAAATCCCTGACACTTTAGACAATTTGAATTTCAAACTTGTTTATGAGAATATTTTTCCATTTTAAGGTTTTGAGTGTTTTTTTCCTGAAAAATATTTTTATGCATAAAAAGTGAGTTTTATTTAAAGAAATAGCTAAAATAGATGGCTTTGACTCTGAAATACTCTATCTGGATTATTAATAAGAATTACAAAGAAGACTTCCAGGTGCGGGCTCCTGAGATTCTCTCCTGACATCCTCAATTCAGGGCCTTTTCTCCCCTTTCCTTTAGAACACAGCACTCTCAGCTTTGCTTGCCGTGTGTAATTCTGCTGGTGAAACTTTGGATATTGGACAACAAACTGCAATTATTGAAATTGCGAGCCAGCTTTGGGCTCTTTTAAACATTAAACAGGTAAGGAAAGCATCTTCTTATTTCCCTGAGTATTGAAAGAATAGTAAAAAAGAATGATGTTAAAATTTTCTGTAAAATAAAATGTACCTCCTTTTTCTAATTATGTAGTAGAACTTATGATTAAAACTTGGAATTGTATTTGTACTCTGAGGCAGGTCTTTTTTTCAATGTGATAGAATTATATCTGCAAAAGAACTGCTCTCGATTCAGTTCAGACTCGTGTCCACCCCCTCTCTGGTTTCTGAGGTTGTAGATTGTAACAGGAAGAGACTCACAAATCTCCCTCAGTGTCCCTGGTGGGTTTGACCATGTAGATGTGCAGTACGTGGGTTAGCAGTCTAAATGCTTTGGAGAGCTGCTTTTATTAAGACCAGAACTTGGTAAATTGACAGTGACAATATTTGTAACTGTTTTCATTGTTGAATTGGACGTATTAAAATCCTTTCTCCTAATTGTTTCTTTTCTCTCATGAATGGTTGATGTAGCCTATTTCTGAATATCTTTTGTAAAATATTCCAAGTGCTAGAGAGTGGTGTGGCTCAAAGTTAGAAGTAGTGAACGAATGGATGTGATAATGTGTTTCCCTTGTTTCTACCAAAGCCAGAAAGTCAAGTGAGTTAGATTGATTTCTGTCTACAACAAGATTATAAACATACTTCACTTATTTTGACTAAGCAGAAGTGGCATCTCTGGTTGTCTTATCCAGTGGAAACTGAAGGCATTATCCATATATGGAGAAAGAGCAGACTTGCAACTCTTTTAGCATTTTTGTTTATTATAGTTAGGTTCCCACTGTAATATTTTTACTACAGTGAGTATTTTCCACTAACACAGATCCTTCCACAAATAAGGATGACTTGATAAACAAATTTTCCACTTGCAAAGAAAAGAAATTATGAGTTAAGTCCTTATGAGTTAAGTCTCTGGTTGTTTAGTTGTAAGAAGCTGTGCTGCAATCACAAAGGCACACAGTTCAAATCCACCAGCTATTCTATAGGAGAATGGGCAGTCTCCTCCCATGCCCTTTACTGCTGTCTCTGAAAACCAGCTGTGGGGTCAGCTGTCAGTCAGTTCTGACGTAACAGCATGTGACAACCTGAATTAAATCTGAGTTTGGATCGTGACTTTGCTTTTCCCAAGGCATGTAATCTTGGGCAAATTATGTAACCTTGAATTTTTCATTTATTTGAGTGGTTAAGAGTTTATTCAGCTCAGTGGCAGAGGGGGGCTGCTGCGGAACCAGGGCAGCCATGGTGGCCAAGGCAGTGGCAACCCTCTGTCCCAGGATGGGATCTCCTGTGCTTCCTCCTCACACATCCTGCCCAATACAGGTGGCCACTGACAAGTGTGTGAGACTAACAGAAATTGATTGCATCAGGAGTACAGCCTTTCAGGGCACCTCACTGCTACCTGCATCTTTCTGGCCTGGGTGCCAGCATGGTTACAGGCCAAGGAGAATCCCCAGAGGGAAAAAAAAAAGAAAATTGGGAGTTCTAGGAACCAGTAGCCAGATTGACTTGTTGGCTCTTGGCAAGCACATGGTAGCAGTTTATTATACAGAACAGTGAAAGGAGAGTTACAAAATAAGCAAGCAGTGGACATGAAAACGGAGGCACTTGCATAGTGACATGAAAAGAATGACTGTATATCTAGTTATTCAGATAATAAGCATATTATGAAGAGGAATATACAGTCCTGTAAAGTTGTGAGTGACAATGATGGTTCTGTGGTATTGGTTGATAACATTTACTCTTTAGAAATATATTATGGTTTGAATAATCATGACTATTGCTACCATAGTAGGAAAAGTGTGATGTAGCACTTAGTGGAGAAATGTAAGCTTGAATAGGATTATAGACTCTATATTCTCAAGAACCTTTGATCAAATTGGGTATGCAAGATTTTAATATATGAAAAGTAAATAATTTTACAGGATGCTTTAAGCTAACATGTGACTAGAGTAGATCTGAGTATGCCTGGTGGAAGAGAAAGGATCTAGGCCATCTAGGATAGATACAATTTCTAGAGAAGGTCCAAGAATGTTTTCAAGGATGTAACAAGAAAGGTAGGGAGATGGTAAGAGCATAGATGGGAGACAGAGAAGTGAAAGATTTACTTGGACCTGAGACTTTAGACAAGGGGTATACTAAAAGATACAGTTATATTAAGAGTCTGTTATTAAATGTCATGGTTGGTTTGGGTTTTTTAAAATCCATTTACCTTTCATTTCCTGTAGCAGTAGTTTCATTATTGATGGCCTATAGGAAATACTGACAGTTTCTGACTCAGTAGGTTTAATGAAGTGGAGCCCAAGCAGTTGTATTGTTAGAAAAAGTTGTCTGGATGAGAGTACTCAAAATCTGCATTTTTATATATCTTTATCTATGTGTGTCTATGCCTCTGTGTGTGTGTGTATATATATATAAAATGATATTGAGGGGTGAGGTTGCTCTCTCTTACAATTGAAAGGTTAGGTGCCCAAGCTGTCATCTGTTAATTTGTGTTTATCTCACATGTTTTTTTCCTTGTCCTTAGTTCCTTCTTCCAGGGTACAATCTTCATTGGTCTATGAATACACATCTATGTCTGATGCTGTTTTAAACCCTCTCACCCCAATATTATCCTTCCTTCATTAATAACTCTTCTTTCTGAAGCTATACTTTTTTTTTTTTTTTAAATCTGTAAACTAAAAAATCAAATTGTCTGCAGGGCTTTCCATCCTTTCTTATGCTTTCCAATACTTTGTTTTTAAAGGTAACCACTAGTAAGCCTTCAGCTTTTCTTTAGTTCATTACTTTCATGTTTCTAAATTACCTTCCTATACTACTGTTAAGGGAGCTGTGGTGACCTTGTGGTAAGAAGCTGCACTGTAATCCTAAAGGCACACAGTTTGAATCCGTCAGCTGTTCTGCAGAAGGATGGGCAGTCTATTTACTGCCTTTTAAAACCTGCTGGAAGGTCAGCTATGAGTTGGTTCTGACTCAACTGTACACACAATAGCAGCAGCAATGGGTAATAACAATTACCTCAAGTAATTGTTATAATACATAAATGAGTTTATAAAGCACTTACCACATTTCCTGCATAATAAATGCTCATTAATAATTCATTATATAAGTGAACATTTTCATCAAAATTATTTTGTGTTTCTTTTTTTAAGGTAATGAACCAACCTTATGTTCAGCAAACAGTCAGCCTTTTATTTCCACTATTGGGTATTTTCATTCAAACTCTAGATCCTCAATTGATAAATCAGGTAAGAATCTGAGCAAGGGCATAATGACAAGGAAATTTTTTAACTAGAATGCCTTTAAATAACTTTCTAGAAGCAGTCTAGTTTTTAAGGATTTATTATTCATTGCTTATTAACCCTGAAGTGAACATACGTTAAGATTTGCTTGTCTTCCTCAGGGCTATCTCTTCATTTCTTATTCTTCTTTCCAGTATTGTTAATATACTAGGCTGCTAATTCAAGCTTTAGATATGCTTCTCTGTCATTGTAATACTGAATAGTTAGAACTTCTTTCTTGTCTGCCTGAGAAAAACCCTGCAGTTATAAGTCACAGCTTATTTTGAACCTAGAATTCAGACATTTTCAAAGGCATTTCAGCAACTGTGGGATATGGAATATGACAAACACAGATTTATGGATTACTTGTCCTCTGGTGGCATAATCGATAAGGAGCTGTGCTGCTAGCCCAAAGATGGTACCTCTCTGGGGGTTTGGATCCACTGCCTCTTAAAAACATGCTGTTCAAGAGTCAGTTCGGAGTTAGTTCCAACTTGACGGCAGTGAGTTTTGAATGTTTCCTTAAAAGGGGGAAAAACTTCATTGAAAGAGGGTCCTTACTGAATTAACCTGTAGCGCATGGCTTACATGGCCGGGCAGTCAGAGCTTAGGTCATTATCTGGGGCTTCTCGTGAGCATGCTTTGGATACACACCTCGTGGAGGCTTTAAACTATGGAATTAGGAAATGAGAAATGCTTTCATCTTAGCAAGTGTGATGAATGGCTCTGCAGTAAATCCATACTGAATACAATTTATCCCCCAAACGATCCAAGTCAGTTTGGGGTGGGGGATAAAAAAAACCTTAAAATCATTGGTGCATCAAAATGGACTCATAGCTGACTCTTAACTGGGTTTAGAGGCTGTAAATCTTACAACAGAAGATTGCCCATCTTTCCTCCTCAACCACTGGTGGATTCAAAACTACCACAAAGTTGTGGCCTTTGAGTTAGCAGTGCAGCTTTCCACAGATCATGCCATCAAAATTCTTCAATTAGATACACATTTTAGTTACAAGTGTGCAATTTACCAATTTACAAATATAGTGAAGTAATAGACTTTTTTTTTTAATTAATTTAGTTTGTTTATTTTTCATTTCAGTGAACATCTACAGAGATTTTGGAATTCCATTCATTCATTGTTGCACCCTTCTCCCCGCACAAACCCCTCCCCCCCCGTTTGCTCCTCTCCTTGTAAAGCAAAAAACTCCCTCATTGATTACACAGAATATAATAATTTTAGTATGCTGATTATAAAAGCCATATTATTATTATTTTCTGAAAAATACTGATGATTTTAATATAATGTATCTAGCCTCTTTTGTTATGTGCCATCAAGTCAGAGCTGACTCATAGCTGACCCTCTAGTGGCTTTTTCAGAGGCTCTAAGTCACATGGGAGAAGACTCCCCCTCCTGCATCCATGGAGAAGATGATGGATTCGAACCAGTTGCTTTTCTTTGGATTTTCACTGCAGCTCTTTACACTTAAGCTCATACATAAAATCCTGAAATTTTAACTTAAGAATTTACAGCAGAAAGATAATCATTCATTTTATAAGATAAAGGCTAATAAAATAAAAAAATAGGCAACAGAGAACATTCATCCTACTTAGAGTATGTAATATGTAGCTCTTTATAGGGAAAAAAAATGTGCCTGCCTGCTTTAAATAATAAATTTAAAACAGGTATTTCAAAAGTTTAGTATACAAGGTTTCAGGAAAACATATTTTTTTTTTTTTAATAGTGGCTGGGGCAAAAAAAAATATACTAGAGTTCTTGATTGATAATAATTGATTCATTTGATTACCTTATTCAAAATTCTATGAAGTTTAGGCTTTGCGGAGTGTTTGTTTTAGATTTTGTTTTCCCTCTTTAAATCTTAATCATTATGTGTATACCAGACACTATTTGTAAGTGTGTTTGGTTGTCATTTCTTTAGGTGGTAACTTTGCAGACCTCACTACTTAAATTAGAGCCTCCCGACCATGTCCGTTTGGCAATGCTGGATTTTGTATCTTCACTAGGGAAACTCTTTATACCTCACGCTTTCCAGGTAATACTCTCAGAACTCTGTTGTTTTGTACACAGTCTCTGTAAGAATTCGTGATAATGGACTTTTTAATAAGATTTTAAATTTGTGAAAATTCTGTAGAATTTAAAACATTAAAATGAATATTATGAAAAATAATGTTAAAATAGTTTTTAGAAAGAGGGTGATTTTGTCAAATATATGTTGACCTGTACACACTTACCAGGTTGGCTGTAATCTAACATTTGAGTCTTTCATTCCAGTTGGTCTGTAATACATGGAGAAAGCATACTTGCATCTTCTAGGAAACGTATAGTTGAGAGATATGGTCATTTACTGACATTATTGTTTTGGTTTGTATCCGTGGAAAGGAGCCTATGGTTTTTTTAAGATAACATTTTAGAAAAATGCTGCCAAGTTTGGTATTTATAGATAAAGATTTTTCTAAGGACCTAGAGTTCATGTGAAGGAGGAACTTCTCATAGAAGAGGCGGTACACTTCTAAAGAATTTTGACAGCCATTCGGTGAAAATTTATTATACCCTAGAGAGGGTTAAACCAGGCTGCTCCTTGGAGGCAAGGATTCTGGGACTTGGTCTGACATACTTTGGTCATGTTGTAAGGAGAGACAGGTCTTTGGAGAGGGACATCATGCTGGGTAGAGTGGAGGGACAGCGCAGGAGGGGAAGACCCTCTATGAGGTGGACTGATTCAGTGACTGGGGTAATCGGGATGGGTGTGTCAGAGGCAATGAGATTGGCACAGGATAGAGCAGGGTTTAGGAATGTTGTATATAGGGTCGCTATGAGTCGCAAACGGACGACAGCACATAACAACAACAACAACAAACTCAGTTTTGCCTTTATTAAGGTCAAAATTCAATAATTCTAATTGACTTTTTTGTTACCGTAGTACATGCTGATTTAAGATCTTGAAAATAAAAATTTCCCTTAAAGATTAGTTTTTAGAGGGCTTTTTTTTTAAAATAAAAGAAGGCATTTGTTAACAGATTAACAAAATTGTATTTGTCTGGTGGTTGTTACGTACTGTCAAGCTGGAACCAACTCTTAGCTGACCCTCCACTAAGTCATAGAGGTCATAAATCACAAGGGAGGAGAGTGTTCATCTTTTTCCCCCAGAACAGCTGGTGGATTTGAACTGCTTGCAGCGCACCTCCTTACCACGAAGTCACCAGAGTTCGCTTTCAGTCTGGTTACATTACCTTAAATAAGCATGGGTATTAGCTTCTTTTCAACCGGCTTGACAAAATATAAAAAGAAATCTGTACTTTTCTTATAGCATAATGTCATTCCAAAATGCTTATTCATTTATGTATAGCTCATTGACCCCCAGAACTGTGAAAGAAATGTTTATTAGCAGAAATTAGCACAGTTGCATTTATATATCCCCAGAGTGAGATCAGAGCTTAGGAAATTTAGAAATCATCAGTACACAGGTACTTAGAGCCATGCAATGAGATTAATGCATATATTTATTCTAGAAAATTTATTGAGTTCCTGCTGTGTCTGGCACTAATTATCAAAGATTCCGTGAGAATAAAAGTCATAAACACTCACACTCAGTCTATTGAGAGGCACCAGACAATGAAGTGATATATGTTCTATTAAATGGTGTTGAATGCTTTGGGAAAAATAAAACAGGTAAGGAGCAGAAGGTACAATTTAAAGTGGGATGTAGTTGAGTCCTCACTGAAGTGAATTGTGGGCATCTTGGGAAAGTCTTTTGAGCAGGGAAAAATACCAAGGACAAATCTTCCAAAATGGGAGCCTGATACACTCAGGGAATCCACAAAATCTGGCCAGAAGGGGTGGGGCTTTGCAGGACATTACTCTGAGGTGAATGGGAAGCTACTGAAAGAATCTGAGCAAATGAATCACATGATGCGAACTCCACTGCTGCCGAGTTGAATCTGACTCATAGAGCCTCTGTAGAGTAGAACTGTCGCCTATAAGGGTTTTTGAGGCTGTAAATCTTTACAGAAGGAGCTTGCCTCCTCTTTCTCCCTCGGAATGCCGGGTGCTTTAACCTATTGACCTTCTGGTTAGTAGACAGGTCTTAACGTCATACTAGCAGGTGTCCTTGATAAGATCTTAGATTTAGTATTAAAATAATTCAGGCTTCAAGATGGAGACTAGACTGAAGGGGGGAAGAGAAAAACTGTAAAGAGTATATGAAAGTTACTATAATAATCTAGAGGCATGAGAGTGGTTTGGGCCAAGGTATGGTGGTCAAGGTGATAAGAAGGGTCAGCAACTTGTAGGATTTGTTGATGGATTGGATAAAGGAGTAAAAAATAGAGTTCAAAAGTTCCTCTTTTTGGCCTGAACAACTAGAAGGGCAGAGTTGCTATTTAAGTGAGACAGAGAAGACAGAGGGCGTTAGAACTGATTGGGAGGAGGAATTGGGACCCAGTTGCAGACATATAATTTGAGATACCTTTTTGTTATTCAAGTGATGTCAGATGAGTGGTGTTTGGACAAAGAAATCTGGAACTCCAGGAAAAGAGATTCAGGTTGGATGTAAAGTTTGGAGTTGTCAGCATACTCTTTAAAGCCATGAGACTAGATGAAGTGTTCTAAGAGGTCCATTGACTGAACCCTGAGGCACAGCAGTGATGAGAGGTTGACGAGTTAGTTGGCAGCAGAACCTTGATCAGGCATAAAGGAGAATCCAGAAAAGGATTATATCCTTGTGACAAGTGAAGAAACTTTCCAAAGACGGAGTAATGGACCTTTTCAAATACAGTTGAGGGGTCAGGTGAGAGACAGAGAGAAACCTGATTACTGGATCTGGAAATGCAGTGACAGTCCCTGAGGGAGAAGAGCAAGAGGACAGGTACAAAAAGAGAAGCCAGCTGAGGTGGAAAGAGTTTGAACAAAAATTTCCACTGCTGGACATAAAAAGCTGGGTGTCTTTGGAATTTAAAGTTGACCAGTTACTGTGCAGCAGCACGGAACAGAAGTGTTGTGTGCAGTATGATAATCTAATCATTCTGCAGTTGTTTTTAAACAAAAAAAGGGACATTTTTATCCTTCAACTTCAGATACAGTTAAAACTGGTAGCTCCCTAAAAGCATCTGGGCCATGATTCTTGGTAGAAATATGTAGACACAGGGTCTGTTTCAACAAATATCTTTGCCATTTGTTCACAGTATTATGGAAACTTGGTAACATTAGCCATGTTGAAATGTATCTTAAGAGGCATTTATTTTTCTGTATTTAATAAGCTCTGGTTCTCTTTTTAGGACAAAATTCTGCCCAGCCTGTCTAGTGTATTTGCCTTACTGCTAACTGATGGGAATTGGCTGCTAGAACAGCATTCTTTGGAAGCATTTACTCAGTTTGCTGAGGTAAGTGTTGAGACCAGTTCACCAGGATTCCATTTATTCAGTTATTTTTCTCTTTGTAGAATTTTCTAGCTGCAAGGACTATGGATGGCTGTTAGGTACCCACAAATTGTTATTTTTGACCTGGGTGACAGCAGAAATGCCTCCTGGGGTTCTCTATGCTATTACCTTCAAGAAAACAGGTCTTTTCTCCCACAAAGCTGCTGTTTAGCCAAACTTTCTGTTAGTAGTTGAGCACTAAACTGTTGGCACCACTTGGCCTCCCAGGAGGGAATATTAATAGTGTCTTACAGGAAATCAATTTCTTTTCTAAAGCCCTCTATTAACAAGGCCTGGAATAGATATTCACACCAGATCCATTAATAATGACTCCGGCTCTGCCTTGCAGACATATCTAGGTTGAACAATAATACATTTCATCTTGAACCTACTATTTATGTTACTGGCCTAAATAGACCTGTTAATTTATTCTACTGAGTAGGTGACCTGCACAGGTGACTCCTTCAGTCTTATCGTAAATGGATTCATGACAATGGATTCATGACAGTGGTCACTACGGGTCCAGAGGAATTAGCTTAACTGACGAAAAGTAATTAAACTTGCAACATGTACTAAAGTTAATATTGTATACATTTTAAAAAATTCACTGCCATTGAGTGGATTCTCATAGTGACCTCGGTTGGGTTTCTGGGGCTGATGGATTCTAGCTGCTGGAGCACCGTACCACCAGAGCTCCTCCTCAGGCACTGACACTTTTTTAGTATCTTCTCCAGATCTTCGGTCACTAAATATACTTTATTTTAAAATGTATTTTTTTATTAAGGTCATAAGCGCTCTGATGGCATAGTCTGTAGTGAGTTGTGCTGTTAACCCAAAGGCAGCACCTGCTGGTAGTTCAAATCCACAAGTGACTCCCTGAAGGAAAGACGGGGACTCTGCTCCCTCAAACCCACTGCAGCATCTGCCCTGGGTTCTTAAACTAATGGGTAACTTTTAAACGAATAAATTTTTTGTGGTAAATTACTTAAGTATATTAAAATTAGTTCTATCGATCTTTTAATAGGGAACAAATCATGAAGATATTGTTCCACAGTGCCTCAGTTCTGAAGAAACTAAGAACAAAGTTGTATCTTTTCTGGAAAAGGTATTTATTTGAAAGCAAAATAGTGTCATGTTTTATTACATTTTCTAAACTGTATGATTATATCCAACTTGAATCCCTTGGACTTTTCAGTGATGATAATGAATGTTATTAAGCAATTCAAATAATATTTTAAGTTTTAGACAGAATACATAAGCCGCTCAGCCTGGAGATAAGTGTGGTAGCACTGATAATCCAGGTAGTGAGGTGACTAAAGTGGGCAGGCCTATGCTGAATGTTACAACTCATACAAAACTAGACAGGTACAAGAGAGATGGCTGAGAGGCTCACCCACTGAGAATCTTTCCAGTGTCATTTAGGCATGGCTTTCTTTAATGATTGAGGCCAAAACCAATTTTTGTTTAAGATCTTGACAGTTTTTTAAAAAGCCATTTTTTTAAATTAGAAATAAAATACTGAAGAGTTTGTACATATTTTGAAACATTTGGGTTATAATGTTAGTTAAGTCAAGGGTAATTTAAAAGTAGTAGCAGAACTGTTACTTCACAAATTTAGAACGAGGATAAATACATGCTGTATTCAATATATATAATATAGTACTATGTCAGGACCACCATATGAGTCGCAAGCGACTCGACGGCACATAACAACAACATGTCAGGACATAAAATACACATATAATCTAAATTAAAAATACATGTGTATATATTGGTGTTTTATAGCCTATCTACATTAGAGATTGCGAAACTGTATTTTTTCCTGTATGAGGACTTTACAACTTTTCTGTAGGGGAGGAGGCACTGTCGAGTGATTTATAGCCAAACTACACCGATATGCAGCATTTGATATTAATGACACCCAGAGTCGTTAGTGAGTCCAACTAACTTGCTGAGATGAGATGTCTTAATTGAGAGGCTAACACAAGGCTTCACTCTCAGCACATGTAAATGATTTGCCCTTTTCATTTCCTAAATGTTATACTATTTGAACTCAATAGATTTCACTATCATTCCGTTTACTTTTTTTTTTTTTAATGATTTGTGGTAGACTGGGCTTATCGATGAAAATCAAACTGCCAAAATAGAACGTTTGAAACAGGAGAGGCGCGTCTTCCAGGAGCCCTTTCCCGAAGTGACTACAGAAGAAGGGGCACTGGCAGCTCTACAGGTGAGGGCTTCTTTTCTGTAAAGTTTAAACTTATAATGATCACTAGGCCAAGAAGAGTGAACTTTCTCCCTTATTAAGACAAATTAATCTCATGTACAGTTCTTCTATCTGATGGGAGTTAAGAGAGCTCTGGTGGCATGGTCTGTAGAAAGCTGTGCTGCTAACTCAGATGGCACAGCTCTAGCAGTTCAAATCCATCAGCCGCTCCTTAGGAGAAAGACAAAGGGTTTCTTCCCATGCTGTTTACAGCCTTAGAAACCACTAGGCGGCCAGCTATGGTGGCATGGTCTGTAGAAAGCTGTGCTGCTAACTCAGATGGCACAGCTCTAGCGGTTCAAATCCATCAGCCGCTCCTTAGGAGAAAGACAAAGGGTTTCTTCCCATGCTGTTTACAGCCTTAGAAACCACTAGGCGGCCAGCTATGAGTTGGCTTTGACATTGGGATGGGATTTTTGGGGTCTTTTTAAATGGTAGGTACTCTTACCACATTTCTACTTATTCAAAGGTTATTAAATGAATAAAACAGAGACAGAATTGTTTTTAAAAATAATTTTGACCACCATATGAAAATGTAATCTAAAGAAAACATTCATTTGTATTGAGCTTTGGTAAAATTATACTGATGAATAGTTTCTAAATAACTTTCTAAACTTTAATTTTATGCATTGTGTAATGAAAAGGTTGGACACTTCTAATCAGGGCACTCTGGTGGCTTAGTGGTAAGGAGCTGGGTTGCCTATCCAAAGATTGGTTCAACTCTACCAGTTGCCCCTTGGGAAGAAGATGGGCAGTCTCCTCCAGTGCACTTTACAGCTTCTAAATACCTATGGTTAGAGGGTCAACTCTGTTTTGGTTCTGGCTCACTGGCAATGAATTTGAGTTCTGAAGGATAATTAAAAAAACAGTTTTGAATAGTAACAGTACATTTGGAATCACTGCTCACTGGCGTCAAACTGATTCTGACTCTGCCTTTCATTTTAATGGCTCACTCCATATGAACAATGCCACTAGAGCTTCCCATTTTTAGAACAGTAATTCATAAAATGAATAATGTTCTAGAAAGAAGACATGTAACTTTGATGTCTGAAATGTATAGTGAAATATGGAAGGCCAACTCATTTGTTATATACTGACAACAGTTAAGTTACTTGGTTTTCAGGCACTCAGCAGGGGTAGTTGTGTGCTGTCAAGTCAGAACCAACTCACAGCTGATCATCCAGTGAGTTTTCAGAGGCAGTTTATCACTCAAGAGGAGACTGCCTGTCTTTCTCCCATGGAGCAGCTGGTGGATTCGAATTGCAGGCCTTTGGGATTGCAGTGCAGCTTCTTACCACTAGGCCACCACAGCTCCTAAATGGTAGTCACAACCCAGATCAGTGAAAAACTAAAAATGCTTGGAGTTGAAGGAACTTATAGAGAACTTACTTTTTCTGTTCTTTCTCTCTAATTTGGAAGCACTGGTGGTACTGTTGGTAGGGAGTTTTCACTGCTAACCTTGTGCTTCAAACCAACTAGCAGCTCGATGGGAGAAAGATAAGCCCTTTCCTCTGATGAGCTGGCTCTGACTCAGAGCAGTCAGGTGGGTTTTAGTTGGAGCAGTCAAAAGGAAAGATTGTTCGAGTATGTGTTACTTGTCACATTCTTTTTCTCATTTTGCAGCCTTCTGTGAAAAGAGCCCGTCACGAGTTCCCATTAGAAGAAGAGTACAGAACAGCACTACAAACAGCAACTGGGGCCTTGGAGGCAATTGAGTCATTACTCCAAAAGTCTCCTGCTCCAGACTGGCTGTTAATGAAAATAGAAAAGCTCCAGGAAAGGATTGACACACTAAAACGCTGTTCACTCAAGGGTGAAACGTGATGGACTCAACCTACAGTGAACTGTATCAGTGAGAACACTCATGCAGTTGTGGGTGTATACTTCCAAACACATGAAACTGCTTTGGTAAAGTGGAATCTAGTGAAAATAGTCTTTATTGGACATTCAGAGAACAGGATAGTTGGAGATGTTTGTCAGTAAGAACTTTGGTACAACGTAATACAGGTGGAACGGTCAGTAACTGCCTAGGCCCATGTGGGACCATTCACTCTGATAGTACAACTGTAAACAAATAAATAAGCTGCCTAAGACGCCTTAGTAATTTATAGTCATTTATATATTTTATAGCTAAATTTTTCCAGTACATATTTCATTATAGAGCTTACTCTTCTGTTAAAGAAATGGCACAAAATTAAGCTAACCAGCTTGAAATTCTATATTTATTTTCTTTACTTCCAGAATTGTCCTAGAAAAAGGCAGTAAATTCACCCTTTCCATAACCGCCTGCTCACAGTCATTGGCCTCAGTCCACGGCACGCATCACTTCCTCCCGTCCCAGGCCTTTTTAGCCAGAACTTGAGGTCTCACTTCACTTGGCACAGACAGGAAGAAAGGCCTGGGAAAAACAGGCTCCTCTGGGTCTTGTCCTCAGAGCCTGCCTTTGAGGTATTGAGTAAAGAAAAAAATTTTCCTACAGTTTATTCATACCCGTTGTCACAAGTTACTATCTTCCCAGTTCAGTTCCCCTTCTTCGCCCCAGCCGTCAGTCTCTCCCTGTAAGGAAAAGCACATCAAGAGCAATTCACTAAAACATCAGGAATTAAAGAGTCGAAGGGGCCTACACTTGTCTAGATTCCAGGATTGTTTTGGTTCCATTATTACAAAAGGGAGCTCTGGCGGCCTAGTGATTAAAAAATTGTGCTGTCAACTCTGAGGACACAGTCTGAACCCACCAGCTGATCCATGGAGAAAGAAGGATAGTCTCCTCTGGGTTGATTTATTGCAGCTGAAAACTTACTGGGTGGTCAACTACGAGTCACTTCTGACTCGAGGGTACATAACAGCAATAATACTACAAAACCAGGTTATAGGAAAATATATTTCAAGGATCATATAATCCAACAAAATCAGTCTGAGGATACCATACTCTTGGCTTAACCCTTTTTCATCCAAATCATCTTTTAAGTGGACAGAAAAACACTTAGCTTAAGCATCAGTACGTTTTATTCTGGAGAAAACATTTACACGATCTTAACTTCATTTTATGCTTGACTTGGTCATTTCAACCAGTGGTCTTTATTAGTCTTTTCTCTCACTGGATACAACTTGCTTACTAAAAATGAGACAGTGCAAATGAGACTTATGAAGCATAGGACATCCCTGAACCAGCAGCCCAGCACAGTTAATAATCCTCACCTCAGTAATTTCTGCTGCAGCAAACTTTGATGAAAACTGCATGACTGGTGAGAGACCATCCTTATTGGAAACCATCATTTCTGTCCTCAGTTCAGGTAAGATAAGAAAAGTAGCTGAAGGTTTAATTTCTGGGATCATATCAGCAAACCAGTCTAACTCAGGGTCTTGTACTGGCTTCTTTTTCACCTGAATGGTAAACTCCTCTCCTAACCCAAATTCTGATGGAACCTTAACCGGCCTTTCTTGTGATGACACTTGTGGTGGCTTGATGAGGTTTGGATCATCCCTGATTTGTACAAGGCTGGTCTTTGGGGACAGGCTTGGCTTCATGGGCCTTGACTCTTCAGTGAGTGGAAGCAAAGAAGGGACAGGCTCTTGTTCCTCTGAGGTAGCAAGTCTCTTGACAGCAATTCCACCTCCGGGGTTTACATTCGTATCTGAGGTGCTGGGCACAAAGTCATGCCAGGATTCTTCTTTAGCTGTGGAGGGGGGCTCGGCAGCTTCACAGGGCTCTTTAGGCCAGATCTGCATGCTGACAGTTTGGTTTTCAGACTCTTCAGGCTCATTCCAATCAGGCCACTCTTCAGACTTTTTAGAACTTGATGGGAAGCTTTCAGGGTCCACAGAAGTATTTTTTACATCTGAGATTCCATTCATAGCAAATTTAATAGGCTGAGAAAACAGGTCACCTGTGGAATTAAGTGCAATAATTATTGTAAAATGATGAGGAATGTTACCACTGAACATCCATGCATGATTCCCTGGCAAAGTATAACCATCGTCATAGAGGCAGGTAAATTGATTCATCTACTTAAAATTATAGCTCTGTGGAAACATGACAGTAACTGGAGCACCTACTTGTTTACCCAATATTCAGACTTTGTTTAGAGGACAAAGAACAAACACTAATATAAAATTGTGCTAAGGGCATTATTTTCCTCAAGATGTTAATCATGTACACACTAAAAAGTGTTTATAAATTTGCAATCCCAGCATTTCTTAGTTTTAAAGAGAATTCCTTAGGTGTAACCAAGGCAGTGGGAAACCTTGTACTAACTGCTACCATATTTCCTCAAACTTTAACCACTGAACTCTTCATGGCACACTGTCCAGTTCTCTAGCACTGTTACAGTTTTGAGGTATGATTTTGAAATTCAGCATAGCAATATCAAACCCCTGGTATAAAAACAGTATCAACAGGCCCTTACCTATTATGGGGGAGGGGGCGAAATACACATTCAAGTAGTCAAAGGAAACAAGATAAACCCAATGCTGACTACACAGTTGCATACGGTAAAACCTACAAAAGTTAGAACTTGTGTATGGCAGAAACTTATTGGAGAAAGAAAAGATATGTTCCACTAACAGATAACAACAAAAGTAGCACCCTATCACAGGCAGAAAGCTTGTGAGACCTGGAAAATAAGAGCATTGCTGTTGAGTTCTGGTTCTTACAGGTTTTACTGTATACTAAATCAGTTTCAAAATCCCCAGAGTTCTCTTAGCTTTCATAATTTATCACTCTTAAAGCATTCATGCAACAGAAAAGCTATATAAACTTAAATGTCTACCTTTCTGTAAAAGAGTATTGTAGTAATCTCGCTGTATGTGCTTCTTGGTGCTGATGGGCATGTTGCCAAAAAAGAAGCACTTAGGGAATATGCTAGAGGGGTTCTCCAGGACAGGCGAGATCTGACTGTGCTGGCTGCAGACGACGTGCATGGGAGAATCTGAAGGTGAATAAAAATCCCAGTGTGAAAGGGACGGTATACTGCTGCTTGATCCAAATGGCATGTTAAGTGAGAAATGATTAAGAGAAATGGATACAATTAACACATAAGAGCTGCAGAGAGAAAGCATCTTTTACTATTGGAAGCACAGCTATTACGGCATGGACTGCCTGTCTGGAATGTTTAAGCACGAGCTGAAGAGCCATGTGGTGGTGGTGGAACAGAAAGGACTCAAGTGTCAAGTGAGGGGTCAGGTGGGATCTAAAATTTTTTGGGATACCTGGCTACAGGCTTTACAAAAAAAATCTGATTTAAAGCCATACTAATTGCATTTTCATTCCTTATTAAGAATACAATTTTTTCAGAGAAACAACTCATTGCTGTCTATTGAGTCGAGTGTGACTTCCAGCTGACGCTCTAGGTTTCAGAGGCTCTAAATCACGGGTGAGATTTCCCATCTTCTCGCTCCCAGCAGGTGGTAGATGTGATCCTTGGGGCTGGCAGTGCATTTCCTTACACACTAGGCCACCAGAGTACCCTTTGCCCCATGGAACTCCCCAGTGGTTGGTGCCCCACGTTCTGTAGAAGAGGCTGCGTGTAGTAATGTCTGGACTGCAGCCAGGGCTCACCAGCTCCTTCCAGGAAGAGCTGAACTTAGCAAGTAAGTGGGATTACGCCTCTGACCAATCTTTTAAAAAAAAACAACCTTAAGAAAGATTCATCTGCTGCAACTATGGTGTCTTTTTTGGGTTTATAATTATGGTTATATGGTAATCCAGGTAGATGTAAACAAGTATCTAAAATGTCTATAATTCTAGCCAATAAATGAAACATGTTAGAAGTGGAAAGTTTTGCTAATTGAGCATGCAGAGCTACCCAAAGCCTTATCATAAAACTGTACTTGCCTTTCCCCACTGCTCTCCAAAATTCTGGTATATGAGAATACCTTTCTAATAGACTGTCTAGTGTAATTTGCTCATCTTCTGTCATAAACAGTGTGGAGCAAGCTACTCTTTTCCAACTCCTCGAGCCACACTGACATTTTCATTAACACGAAGAAAAAGAACTTTTTCAAAACTTCATGAAGCTGGGTTTGAACCTCCAGCCTTTTGGTTGGCTGTCAAATACTTAATCAAGGCTCCTTGCAGTACATAAAGAAACCAATATTCTAAGTCCTCTCACTAAGGAAAGTTCTTTTGTTGACCTAGAATTAGTTACCATGTAGGTAGCATCTAATATCATACTGAAAAGAAAGCTTTCTGAAGTTCCTTTAAAATTCTCTTGTCATCTAATTATAGAAAAACCTATCTGATAATTCTTTTCTACAAGTAACTGTTCTCTATACAACATCAATGAGAACTGAATTAGAGTTCCAGAGCTTTATAACAGGTCCTAGCCCTATTCAAAGTTACCCAACAATCCTTGACTTTTATAGCATCTAATAGGTTCGTACTGAAAATGAAGATTTCTTGACGTATTGAAACAACAGTTTTTTACCCAACAGGCTAACAAAACCCAAAGGCTTCAATGGCTCCTATTAATGAAAACATCGCTAATCTTTTTGGAGACTGGTTTTATCTATTTAATTTAAAATGTGCATATTAATTGGCCCAGCAAGTCTACTTCCAGGATTTTAGCAATTTTTATTCTAGCCAGTGTACTTAAAGATGCATGTATAAGGATGTCTGTATTTATAATGCCTTCCCCCAAATTTTTTAAATAGGAGCAGTAACCATCGATAAAGAAAACTGTTAAGTGGGTTGTTATTCTATGACATACTACATAATTATCAAAAAGAGCTAAATTCTGTGTTGTTGTTGATTGCCATCAAGTCAAGCACAACTTATAGTGAGCCTATGAACAAAAGACTTGAAGCTGGTAACAATCGTTTCTCGAAGTTCATAGTTTCCTGAGGCATTTGGTTTAGGAAATGGATGCCATTCAGATTCTATGTATTGACCTGAAAACAGGCTGCTGAGAAAGTAGCTACATGAAAAAGTAAATGTGTGTAATACTTATTTTAAAATGTTCTCATATGTATAAGCATACATCTTACATCGTCTTTTGAGTTTAAAGAATGATGTGAAAGAATTCTCACCAAACTATTAAAATTGGTTGCCCTCTACAAAGAGCTGAGAGAAGGATATTAACATTTTCCTTATACTTTCCATTTCAGTGAATATAACCCATTTGCACTATTTATAGAATCTTTTAAGAATTGTAACAGCAACACTTATAAATAAAAACTTGGAGCTTTTTGTCATTCTTACCTTCTGGGGAAAGGTCAGTAGTTTTAGTGAAGTTTGGAGCAGTACGTTTGAAGATCTTGGTTCTCTCTCCTCCCACAACTACCTCTGGTCCCAGCAGAGAGACCAGCACTGCCAGGCTATGGAGTGTGATGGCCACGATAGAATCGCTGGTGTCCCGCAGGCCCAGTAATACCTAGAGGGAAGCCGGTCATCAGTACAGGCAGCACACTGCCTATCTTTCTCCCTCTGTAAGCAAAGCTGTAGGCTGAACCACATTTTGCTTGCTCGGATGAATGTCTTTTTCTCACAATGTGCCACGGCTGATCCTATGCAGAGCAAGAGACCCTCCAGGCTGAGTCCAGTCAGTTCAGAGAATGTGACAGTGAATAAAATGAGTGTTTAAAGCTATCAGGTTTTGAGTTGTTTGTTACAAAGCTGTAGTCAACTGAAGCATCCATCTTTTCCTGTCTGTTAGATTGTGGACTCTTCAAAGCAGGAAGAGAAAGGCCCTTTGGTACGTCTACACCACCAGTCCCAATGCACAAAACCTGGCATAAAACTGAGTTGTAACAAATATTTCTAAATCTCATAGGAAAATTATGTGAAAGATCCCATTTGAGTGATAAAATCTTAAATAATCCTTGAGTGGGCAAATCCTTGGTGGCTGATAAACAGAACAGGAATAGGTTCAGGCTCTTCTAAATGCAATTTACACCACTACGAAATAGATATCTTAACTGTTTATGGTCATAAAGCGTTCTACAAATGATTTCTATTTATTTTTCAAAAGACTAAGACACAGAACTCCTTTCATGTGAGGACAAACACTGTTTAATTAATTACTGGTCTGCTTATATGAATGGGATGGAAATGCAGTTTGGAATTCAGCCCTTTCAGTCTAAAGGGCTTTAAACGAACTGCCGCCTCCAGGCCTCACACACTCCTCAGAATGCTTCCTGAGCTCCCAGCCCACTAGTGAGCCCTCCACCCCCTTCACCCGTGCCTGCCCTTGGAGGGCTCTGGCGCTGGCTCTGACCTGCGGCAAGATGACTTTCTTGAGCTGCTCCTGGGAGAAGTGCTCCACATATGCCTCAATGTGAGACAGCAGCACCATGCGTACGTGCTCCTCGTGAACCTCGAAGAGCTGCAGGAGCACGGGGATCACCCGGGACTGGAACAGGGCCAATGACAGCAAGCAGGGGGTTTCTCCCTGCACATTTTCTACCCGAGGAAATGGAACAGCCATGTTAGTGAAAGGAACACTACGCACACATCATAAATCAAGCTCAGAACTTTAAAACACTAGGTAGTCTACATTCTTAGTCCTCTTGCTCCCTAAGCAAAGTTCTTTTGTTGACCTAGAATTTTTCTGCTGACCTTCAATTACTTAAGAAGTATATTTTTTCCCCCCTTGTGAACTGTCAAATCAGATCTGACTAGTACAAGAGGAGACTGCCCTCCTTCTCCAGTGGAGCATCTGCTGGATTTGAACTACATGCCTTCGGGATTGCAGCACAGCTTCTTGCCACGAGGCCACCAGAGCTCCAAAAAGTACATTATTAAAGCTTGTATTTCAACAGATTCCTGAACTAATTAATATTTTTCATAAATTATGTTTAATCAGTGAAGAATTGGGTGTTAAATGCTACAATGAGCTCACGGTGCTGGACAGTACTCTCCGATAATCTATCTGGTAGTGATTATCAAACAGAGTCATCAGAATCATCTTGAGACCTTACAACACACAGGCACACACACACAAGTGATGCCCCAGCAGCTTGCATGCACTCGCTCGCTCCCTCTCAGATACACAACCCCCAGCTCTATAGGAACCAACCAACGGGTCAGAGCTGGAATGGCTCCTGGCTGACCCTAACATGCACCAGGGGATTCAGAGGCACATCCTCAGAGTGTTGACCTCATAGGAACAAACAAAACAGAAATCGGCTCTCAAAGGGGAATTTAAGGCATGAAGTCACTGGCTGGCTTGTGTGCTTTCACAAAGGTAGTTATTACTAAGATGATTTTAAGAGGAAAAACCCACAATACGAATGTAAATAAATGAAACTAATTATATAAGTTTTTCTTTAAAAAGTTACATAGATAAGAAAACTCACTTCTAGAGGTAATTTCCATCAAAATTCTGAACTTAATATATTAATGCTAGTGCTACAAAGTTTTACATTTCAAAATAACTTCACATGCTGGAGAAACTGAAGGCAAAGATGAAATAACAGCCAAGTGCTTTTCATTCTTTTTACTGAAACTAGAAAACAAGCAGATTACTTCTGGACAAACAAGAAGTATCCAGACATGAAGGGTTCACTGCAAATACAACATTTCTTTGAAGATGTACGCCTTTTCTTAAACTTCACATACAGTTCATATTCTAGTCCACAAGGTAGATTTTGGGTTTTTCTTCAAGAATTGCTTACTAGAGTGAGTCCATCTCATCCAGGAAAACACTCCATCTTTCTCTTTTGGGTTTGATACCCAGAGTTAAGCAAAGGTGTCACATCGGGAACCAATAACTACTTCCCCCGTTCAGAGCCAGACAGTTTACTAACTACACCATTTAGTAATCTCACTGTGCTTGAATACAGACAAGTGATTGGCAAACTCCTTAATTACAATAATATTTTAAGAAAAATTCACCTTTTTTGGGGCCAAGGAGATGAGGAAGAAAACTCTTAACTGCTACTGGTTCAGCAAACACCAGCTGATTAAGCAGAAGAGGCACCAACCTGGAGGCTATTAATTCCTCTGACAAGCAGCTGACTCGGTCCAGCAAAAATCTGAAGGGGAAGAAGGGAAATTGCTCATGACAATCAATTTACTTGAAAAAACAAACCCTCTTCCATTTCAGTCATACATTTTAAAATTTCACTAGAGATTGTGAACTGGGCTGTCCCAAAAAGTCAAGAAACATGCAGAAGGTATGCAAGGACAGGTTTGTCAAAACATGCAACCTATACCTATGAGGAAACGTTTCAGACAGCTGTCTTTCTCATCAATAAAAGTTACTTTTTCAAATAGAAAAGAAATAAAAATAGAATAAAAAGTTTCTATCATAAAAATAAAGATTATTAACTTCACTAAATAGTTTCATTTTTAAAAAAATATTTAAGAAAGAGATACAAACACCATTCTCACCTACCAACATGGTTAGGCCTTAAAGACCAAGTTATTATCCAAAACCTGGTGTTACATGAAAATGGATAATCTGATCAGAAAAGATGGTTTATATGGTAACTGCTAATCACAGTCCATCAATGTTGATACATGACTTTAACCATCACTTTCACCTCACATCTCAGCATTTGTTACTGCTAATTGTACATTTTTTGGTTTTTTTTTTTTAACTAATGTAATGAGATGGCTGATAAAAGGGGGGGGGGACTGTTATGTATATATGTGTATTAAAGTCCTTAAGAAGTACACAGGTAGTGAGTGGGGAGTAATTTTACAATCACCCTTGGCAGATAATCTTTGCCTCCTCCATACAGAAAATAGGTCACATCACATGCACGCTTCTCTGGGTCTATGTCCATCCTCCTTCCCAGCTACCAAGAATAAGGGACATCGGCTTATTTAATGCCCTCACCTAGGCACTGCCCTAACATTCCTGTCTTCCAAGATGTAGTACGGCCTCCAATGTGACTGCAGCTTCCCTGTTCCCTGTACTCACAAGCATCTTTCCCTTAGTCTAGAAGCATGTTCTGTCATCCTTAAAAAAGTCCTCTCTGGAAACTCATTCTGCTGCATGGTAAGGTGATCGGGGAGACCCTCCAAAACCTTAAGGAGTTACCCATATGGGCACAGAGTCCCCCTCTGTGCAAGGGAAAACAGGTGCTAAACAACAGAGGCCTGATTCCACTCTCCCTCCACAAGTCCCCTCAGTACAGAACTGCCTAAACTGGCAGCACGGTCCCTCCATACTTCATTTGATGGCTCCTACTAAATTGGATTGAGATTTGTGACTTTTCACCTCTATTAAGATCATCCCTCCACCCTCCTCACTATGAACTACTAAGAAATTGCCTGTAGCTTCCTACCCACTCACCCTAATCCAAACAACACTTCCCAAGAGGTTGTCAGAGACAAACCACATGAACCAGGAAAAAAGCAGGTCTGCTATGTGGGTTAGTGTTTGTCTATGGGATTCACAGGTCCAGGTCATATGCAGGTACAAGACAGAGGAAAGAAAGTTTGTTAGGAAACCCTTTGCTTTGGATATGTGATTAGGTATTATTGTCATGACAGGAGTCCAGAACAAAGGCTGCATAGTGAAGTAGACTTGGGAGGAGGGATTGTATAACAATGCAAGAATTTTACTTTTCAAAGAGAAGAGTGAATTGGGGGAGGGGTGGGGAGGGAGAAAAGTGTAGCAGTGAATAAACAGAAATCCAAAGTCTGTAAATTTTCATTAAAATTAATAAAAAAAAGAATAAAAATATTTCAAGACCTTTAGAGGGTCAAGAAACAAATCTATTTGAATGCCTCCATTTAATTTGACATAATAATATAAGAAAATTCAATAAAATTTCCTTTATCCCCCCTAAAAAAAATCTTTTGCATCCCCCAAAGAGGTCACACATGCCATAGACTGAACGGCGATCCTTAAGTTATGTCCGAGCCCTAACTCTTGTACTAGAGACTGTTACCTTGTTTAGAAATAGTCTTTCTTTGAAGATGTCATCAATTAAGTTAAAAAGGTCATAAAAGTAGCATAGATACTAATGCTGTGCGACTGGTGTCTTAGACAAGAGTAAAGATGCAGCTACTCACAGGGAGAAATAATGTGTGTAGACACATCTAACAGCAAGGGAATGCTGTCAGGGATAGGCAGCCGCTGCTAGAAGCAAGAGGAGGCCACAGAACCATTTCTTCCATGAAAGCCCTCGAAGTAATCAACACAAATAAGGCCCTGAGTGGAACTCTAGCCTCCAGAACTGTGAGACAATAATACATTTCTGTTTGTTAGTTTAAAATGGGGGAAAAAAATCCCCAAAACCTCTTTCAACTCCATTTTCTGTGCCGTTGAATTGACTCATAGCGACCCTATGCACGACAGCTCTGAAGCCTGCCCTGTCCTGAGCCAGTCTCAGGGTCCCTGACACACCCACTTCCATTACCGCAGGTATTGTGTCAATCTATCTCATCCGGGGTCTTCCTCTCCTGCGCTGTCCCACCACCCTTCCAAGCTGCTATAGTAAATGTAGGGAAAACCCTCTCCCTAAATTTTTCAGGAAGAGGTTTTTCTGCGTCTCCTTTCTCACCTTCCATTCCCTGATCGACCCACTGCTGTCTGACTTACTGTTGAACCTACTTCTGCTAAGAGAAGGTCACTGCGGTTTTCCTGACGGCTCCGACCTTCCCATCACTCGCAGTTCCTAGGAGAGTAACATAACACAGCCTTCCTGTCTGACTCTGACAGCTCTGACACCGTTTCCCATCTCACCCACCACACACACCTTCCCCAGTCACGCCATCACAAGCCTGCATGCCCCAGGGCTCCAACTTGGATGTCCCTTCTATGCCACTCACTTTCTCAACACAGAAGTCAGCATTTCCCTTGCATTTTCTAGCATGATAATCGCTAAGACACGTCAATTCTACCTTACATCAGTAGCTTCATACCTTACATCAGTGGCTTCAGCTACATTTAAACAATCAGCGCTGAGGCCCCACATCTACTGCCTGGATTCCTACAGCGTAAGAACCAACCCAAGTCCTGTGTGTCTCAAGCCCATCCCCTCACAGAAAGCACAGCAGTCTCTACAAGGACAATCTGACAAACTCACAGCTACCTTTGCCCCTGCCATGGCTCCAGCACCTAAAGCTGTTTAGTGTGTCAGTGCTCTTCACCACCACATGTAAGATGCTCACCTCTCACGCCTCAACACTCTGGTTTTAGAATCTGCAGAACTGCTTGCTGTTCCCCCTCACAAGCATGGTACCTCTATTAATGTGTCATCATCTACTGCACCCACACACACTCGCTTTCCTCTGCCATTTCCTCCTCATGCTGTGCACACACGGGCCCACTGCACCCATCCACTAATCAACCTATGCTGCTGTGTACTATGCAGCTGGTGAGTTTGAACTGTGTTTCTTTGAGTTCACAGTGCAACTCTTTACCACTAAGCCACCAGGACTCCCTACTCAACGTGTCACTGTTGTTGTATACCACTGAGTTAGAACTAACCCACAGCGGACCCTCCAGCAAGGTTTTAGAGGCAGTAAATTGCACAGGAGAAGACTGACCATCTTTTTTTCCACAGAGCACAAGGTGGATTCAAACTGTGTACCTTCGAGTTGGCAGCATAATTTCTTACCACTAAGCCTCCAGACAGTAATATCAGTCTGCATGTATGCCCTTTACCAGGGTTAGCTGGCCAAGGGCTAGTGAAAACCCTGACATTCAGGAAATGGCCAATTAACTATTAAGCCAATTGTCTGACTACTCTTTTCTAGATAGCGTACTTGATTAAACCACAACGAAATTCACTACTGCTGAGTCAATCGGAACTCACAGTAACTCTCCCAGTTTCTGAAGCTGTAGAGCTTTATGTAGACTGTGTGCCTTTGTCCTGCAGAGCAGGTGGTGATAGTGAACCACCAGCCTTCAGTTTAGCTGCACACTATGGCACCAGAGCTCCCTGCATGGTTAAATTGTCTTAATTCAAGTAACTAAATTTAATGTTCAAACTTACTTGAAAAATTCCGTTTTTTCCTCTTCGCTCTTCAATGTTAAACTTTTCAAGAAATTCACAATTTCTAGAAAATCATTTCTAAATGTTAAAGAAAAACCAAAATGCAGGGCAGCACGTTAGATAAGGTATATTAAATACTGAAACCATAACCACAGACCACATCATCATTTTCAACAAAGACATTTTCTCCTACTTCATTTAAAGAATCTTTCAAAAGTAAACTGATTTATGCTAAATGCTATGGAGGGGTCACCAGGTCAATTCCAACTCGGGAGTGACTGCAGGACAGACCAGCACTGCCTCATAGGGTGTCTGAGGCTGCACACCTTTAAGGGAATGGCTGACGGTCTTCCCTTATGTGGCTTCAAACCACAGACCCTCTGGTTAGCAGCTGAACACTTTAATCACTGTGAACCAGAGCTCCCTGAATAAGGACACAGAGAATCTAACATTTAATAATGCAAAAAGGAGTATAAAAAAGGGATCTGCGGAGATGATACCAGTTTCTGAGCACACAGAGGCTAGCATACTTCATTGTCTTAATAAGCATCATATCCATTCAGCTTTAGTTATAACAGAGGAGGCTATGTGGACTATCCTGGGAAAAACGGCATGGTTACCATTACAAAACGGCTGATGCTTGAGTCTCCTTGAATGAAGGAAAGAGAATTAAAGGAGGTGAGGGGAAAGAACTTCTTACACAAATCACAGGAATTTGCTCATTTTTCTTGGTTGTAAGAAGCAGGGAGATAAAATTTGAGAGATGTGACCAGGCAAGGGCTCACCACACATGGCGTAGAAGCGCTGCCCCAGCCAGCTTGGCAGGCCTGCCCCTCCTCGCCCAACATGCCCAGTTTGCACAGCTGATCACCTGGGTCTCTGCCCCTTACGTCCACACCTATTTCCCTCTGACTCAAGAGCACATTCACGGAAGGCCTCAGCAAAGGGCGCTGCGGTGGGGCCAGTCAATGCTCAGCGGCCTCGGTACGGGAGGCTGGCCCTAGATCCTGCTCATCTCTGACTGGATTTCCTCCTCAGAAGTTACTAATAAGCGAGCTCTGGTGGCCTAGTGGCAAGAAGCTGCAACTGCAAGTTCAGAGGTGCACAGTTCAAATCCACCAGATGCTCTGCTCGAGAAGGAGGAACAATGTCCTCCTGTACCAGTCAGATCTGATTTGACGGTACACACAAAAAATAATGAAAAAAAAAATTAAAAAAGAAGTTACTAACAGGTTCAGGGAGCAGGGTGTATTTAGTTTGCCTCTCTTCTCTCTTTTTAAAAGACAATTCTTAGTGAAGAACTCTTACTACAAACAATAAGAGAAATCTATTTACCACAATGAGTGATTCTTTTATGAGACTTTGTGTCAAGGTAAATAAAGTATTTACAATGAAGTATATGAAAGGACATATATTGGTTTAATGACCTTATAAAGATCAGAAAGGTTTTGAACAGTTTTCCTAAAATATAAACACCAGTAACTACACTTTAGAGATGACACCAGCTTTCCCTTCACTGGGGTTCTGCCTAGCTCTCCTACTGCAAACACACGAGGATTTTCAGTTTCAAAACTAAATAAGGCTGACTTTGCTACTACAAGTAAAGGATATGGAACTAATGTGTATAAGCTCTGTAGTCATGGAAATAAAAATTGAAGGACAAAGAATTAAAATTCACCTTGAGAGAGATTCAAAAACATGTATGAATCGTTAACTGTCACAATGGCAAGTTCTGTGATTTTTCATCATGAACTGCTAGTAAAAACATAAAACAATCTTCTGCCTGACGAATAAAGAATTGATCTCCCTTGATAGGAACAAACTCAATAATAACAAACTCATATCAATAAAACAATGGCAACAGAAAGATGAGACAGCATTTCATAATTTTCTCTATTAATTTAAACTTCTAAATCCCTGGACACAACTATGCCTCTTTGCTATCAGAAGCTTTAATGAATCTGGCTGCAGTTTCTATACTTACTCTCCATAATAATGAAGGATTTTAAAATTTCCTATCTGTGACAGGCATGAGAAGTAGCCTCATTTCCCCCACTAAGTAAATGTATTTCCTCTGGAGCTGATTCAATCTTTCCAAATAATCACTAACAGCAAGAGACGGCATCATCTGGTCCTCCAAAGCCCACCGTGGGACACCAGCAGCAGTGGGCAGCTGCCGTGTGACATACAGACCCCTCACCTGAAGAAGTCATGGGACAGTAAGGTGCAGAGCGCTGGCCGACAGTGTGGAATGGGATTGAGCAAAGTTGAGTGCAAAGTCTGTTGAAAGCTGGAGAGAACATCCGCTGAAACTGAAATCCAGAGCTACAGTTAGTTTCCAATGCCTTCTCCCTCTTTTCAGACCTTTATAGCTGAAGGCTGATGAGAGCAAAAACCAACCTGTAAAAACCCAAACAAACAAAGCCCTGGCTGTTGCTAAACAGCTTCCTACCTGCCTTAAGCCAAACTCCTTGGCAAGTATTGAAAGTTGTCCCTCCAGCATGCCACCCCATCCGCCCTCTCATTTCCTGGTTGTCAATGTAACTCAACTAAGGGCCAGGGAGGACTGCATGTGAATGTGGGAGTCTTTCTTTAGCCAACTCCTCATCTGAACCACACAACACACAGTTATTTGAGGAACTACAATTTCAGTTCCTCAAGGATGGTGCTTAATTGCATCATCAGCTGCTCAGGAGAGGAGTTCCTTCCTGACACAAGTGGGTGCCCTAGGGTCTTAGGTTTCCCACTTGTGTATTCAGACTGTGACAATTTAGAGCCCACAGCCCGATGGTGCTGGTGACATCAGAAAACTGTACAAGCTTGGGAGGAGAAGCTGTACTAGAAGCTCTAGGGCATCCACAGTTTTAATGATGTAAGATGAAGGCCAGTTAGAGCAGTTACACCAGTACATGTAATAGGTACAAAATTAGAGTGGTTGAAGGGGATAAAATGGGTTGCAAAGCATGCGATTTGAGAGCATGAAAGAAGAAGAAAACAGCTTTAGCAGCTTGGGCTTTAAGGGGCAAGGAAAAAAGTATCATGCAAACTATGTCAAGAAAAAAAAATCCTAAGACCTTTGAAAGAATAGAGAAAGCACTATTTAGAAATTAATAGTAGCTTTGACTCTTACTCTGTATTTTAGATTACAGCATACAAATCAATTACAGCATTAGCACCTATATATTAACTGGCTCAAAAAATAAGGCAGAGTCTCTGTACCATGAATACCAACATTGATTAAGAAATAATCACACCACGGTGGTTCTTGGGTAAAATTATTTTAACTGTGTAAATTAAGGCTCCACTGAAGTTTCTTTTCTTGTTGGTGTTAAGGTCTGGCCTACATGAGATGCTAGGACTTTTGTAGGACCAGAGAGTGCAAACCTTTCCCTTCTACTTAACACAGAGCACGCTGGATTTCCCTACTCAATCTAGGGATGTGGTGTGTGACTCCAACTCACCCTGATCACTTAAGACTGTGAGCAAACTTTCCACCAATGTTCCAAAGGAATAGGCATCCCGGGCATGTCCATGGGACTCTGGCAGAGCTGTGAATTCTGGAGACTAAAAGCAGTAAAGACCATTAACACCTGGGGATCTGTCTTACACATCATGTCCAATTTTCTCTGAAGCACTTCTTTCTGCATTTACATATTTTAAACTCAAAAGTAGGTACACATTAACCTGTTGGCTCTGACTTAATGACATTTGTGAAATCTAAAAATACCAAACAGTGCAAAAGAAAAAGGGGGGGAAGAAGTCAGAGTATGAAATGTGACTCTGGCTTTCAATAATATTTTGACTGAACTGAGAATTAAATGGCATAAGAGGAGACTGCCCATCTTTCTCCCATGGAGCTGGTGGTGGTTTCGAACCACCAGAGAAACTGCCTTTGGGTTAGCAGCAGAACTCCCTAAGGACTATGCCAGAGTTCGCCACAATTAAATGATACTTAAGATTTTCAATATATTTCCTGTTTTGTTTTGTTTTCCCCAAGAATGGTAATTGGGACTCCTCTCTCTCTCTGTATAATATTTAACTGTGATTAGTAGGCGTTATCAAATTGGCTAACGCTCATAGTGACCCTATCAACAAAAGAGCAAAACTTTGCCCTGTCCTGTGTCATCCACACAATCTCCGCCACGGTTGGCTTCTTTATTCAAGTCTCAGGTTTACACTGAAGTATTTAGCTGAATTTGTATAACCTGTGAAGCACATGAAGTATGTCTTTGAAATTAGATGCATATTTATAGCATCTAACTAAGAGCATCTGCTTTACCAAAGATAATTATTGTAAAGATAATCTTTATAAGCATCATAATATTAGTCATCCTACGAATTCTGGAATCCTAATCAATGTCGGAGATGGGCAGACAAATGAGTAAAGCACAGTAAATGACTTCTAACTATATGACATCAGCAAGGAAAGCAAAAAGACTTGACTTAAAATGGGTATGCCCCACCTCTCGATGCATCCTGGGTTCTAACTTAAAACAATGTAATAAATGTCCCCATGACCAAAAATTTTATGTTGAATGTCAGAAAAAAGATGGTCACAAAATAAACCTCAGAATCTGTTAAGGTCAGAAGAATTATGGGGCATGTGAAACTGAGTGATGAAAGGAGTAGTCAGAGGCAAGGTACTTTAGGTCTCATGCTTAGTTGTGGACTTAAGACCATTCCATCTGAAATATATCCTCTTACCATCTCTTCAGGAGGAATGGATGCCGGGTCTCTTACTGACTGAATACTCCTCAGAAACTAGACAGAGAAATAAATTATGAAAATAAGTCATACATGTGTTTGCTGAACCAACCTTTTAAAACAAATCACAAAAGCAATGCAGTGGAAAAGAGTATCTATAAAACCTTCAAAACAATGCTCTGCAGCAAATATACAAATTTTAAATTTCCCTAATTAAAAATGGAAATGTAGCACAAAGCTTAGTAGAAAACAAATATCAGTTTATTTCCTCTCTCCTTTAGCTAGCTGAAGAGACAACTCAGCTGTCCACAGCCTTCTCAATGAAAATCAGAAATAAAATCTTTTTATCCTACATAGCTGTTAAAAAACACGAGGCTTTCATATAAAGAAACTAGCATTAATTTTCTTGCACTGAATTAAGTCAATCATAAAGCTTACTAACAGATGAGATATAAAAATTGAGACTTCATGAGGTAAGGAACAGAACAGGAAAAACATCCACACAAGAAGAAAATTATTTTATTCTTAAAAAGTTATTTTTGCAGCCTTTTTATGTTCACACATCACTGAGGGCACTGGGAACACAAAATAAATGCAAAAAAGCTCCCTGCTGCAATCTCAAAGGCACAAGATTCAAATCCACCAGCTGCTCTGTGGAGAAGAATGGGCACTCTCCTCCTGTGTGATTAAATGCCTCTGAAAATTTTCTGCAGGGTCAGCGATGAGTTAAGTTCTAACTCAACAGAACATAAGAACAACAACTGGGGAAGAAAGACATTCTAGCTAGTAGCAGAATGGCATAAAAAGAAAGAGAACACACGATGTTCTCAAACAGCTGAGGACATAGTTAGGCTGCATAGAACAAGAGGTAGCTTGAGTGTAGAACTGTGAGCTGTAAATGAAGCTGAAAGTAAAGTAGGGTATGGATTGTAAAGGGTCTGATATGCCATGGCTAGGTATTTTGAATATAGCCCCATATAAATGGTTAGATGCTAAGCTCTGTTATAGTAAAGGTAATTTCAAAAGAAAATGATCAACAGGTCTTAAATTAATCAAGATTTGAACTGAACAAGAAGCCATAATGGTGCAAATCAGATCAAGTCCACATTAAAAGTAGAAGCCACAGGCTAGAGATTAAAGGAAATGAAGGCAGGGCCACACCACAGCAATTATGATGGGAGTTTTGGGTTTGTTGTTGTTAGTTTGGTTTTGTTTTCAAGAGTAAGTCTAATAGCAACATGCAAAATGACAAAAAGAAACAGAACAGAGAAAATAAGCTTCTTAAAACAGGAAGGGAAACATGTTAATATTTGTTGGATAAAATTCTAAAAGGGAGCAACATGCAATCCATTTAGGAGTTAAGAGCCACAGGTCTTAATTCCAGCTGTTCTGACATAAAGTATGACTCTGGGAAACATTTCTTGAGTATCTCATATGTACCAGGCACTATTCCATGTAGAAAAGTAAAAGTAAATGTAAACAGAAGTCATCCCACACCCAAGGAGTACAACTGTTGGTATATACATAAAGGTATACTACTCCATATGTTACGTTATTGTTGTGGACCATCACATTAGAACTGACCCATTGCCAACCCTTCAGCAAATTTTCAGAGTCCATAAATCTCATGGGAGGAGACTGACCATTTGGGAGATTCAAACCGTGCACCTTTGTGTTGACATCACAATTAATTACCATGAAGCTACCAGAGCTATTACATTAAGCAGAATGACAGTATTAAGTACAGGGTATTGAAAATAGAGAAAGGAGGTCTTTCATTAGGATAAAGTAAAAAAAAAAATTCTCCTCAACTCTTTCACCTTCAGGTTCCTTACCTATAAAATGAGGAAAAGGGAATTAATGACTCCTAATGTGAGCAAACCCCTGGAAACGTGCTGGAGGTCAGTTATAGGTTGGTTCCAACTCGATGGCACACAACAACACCACCAACACTGTGAGGAATTTAAATTCTGCAATGCTACAGTTATAGGCACAGGTTGTTAGCACAGGGTTCAGATCATAGGGTCGCTAATGAGTCGTATTTGACTTGAACAACAATGTGAGTAAAAGGTGGCTTAATGGTAAGGAACTGAGCTGCCAGTGCAAAGGGAAGCAGTTTGAATCCACTTGCCACTTCAAAGAAAAAACATGGGCCATCAACTCTCGTGCAATTCACCACCTCTGAAAAGCTGCTGGAGGGTCAGCTATGGGTCAGTTCTGACTTGACAGTACACAACACCACCACAGCTGTAGGGGAGATCTGGTGGCCTAGAGGTAATAAGCTGCACTGTAATCTCAAAGGCATGTGGTTCATGTCATTAAGTTGCTCTGTGCGAGAAGGATGAGCAATACCCTCCCACTTGATTTACTGCCTTTGAAAACCTGCTGTACAGTCAGCTATGAGTTGGTTCTGACTCAAAGGCAAATAACAACAAATAGCTATGTGGCATAAAATTCTGCAATACAAAAATATGAGCATTCAAATAAAAGTCAAGTGTCCAAAGAAGAACCGTAGGTAGGTTCACAGGCAGGAACGACATGCTATTAGGAAGGTGATCGATCAATCGCTGAAGAACAAGAGGGCCCACCGCCCAGCTCACCTCTGGTGTGGCCTCAGGAGCTTTACACACTGTTTCCATGCCGCCCAGCCTCCAATGCCCGTCCTCACTCACAAACACAGACGACAAGCACACATTGTTGTGTGTCAGCCTTCCCTGGGGAAAAAGAGCAAGAAGGAGATTGCTACTCTAGTGTTTTGGAGTGGAAGTTTTAAAAAAATACATTAATCATGGGGGGAAAAGAATTATGAATAGCTTTCCCACTTTGTGGCATAATAAATGCAATAGGATTTTAATGAAAGACAAACTGCATGAGCCAGCTTAAGCATTATTAGGTTAGAACAAAGGAAAAATGCAGGGGAAAAGCTTGTGTGCATTATTTCCCCCTACCTGGTGAGGCAAGTTAATAAAGACATGAAAACAATTACACAGATAAAATCCAAATCCCATTTTTAAAGGGCTCAGGAGATATAAGTATCCTTAAACATAAATGCACAAGTGTTTCAGCCTAGACTGCTTGCTACTCACTGCCTTTACAGACAAACTTTATCTTTGTTCCTGGAAGTTACTTTATTAATTTTTCTCCTCTAAATGCTTTCTAACCTACATTCTATCATGAACCCAAGATCCAACTTTACCTGAAATCTTGTCAGTAGAGTTAAAAAAAAATTCTGTGTGAAGAAGAGGAAAATGGAATGATAAGGACCACCAGAAATATCCCTCAGACCACAGAAGAGCCAATTTAAAAATTACAAAAACAGTACAGTCAAATAAGTAAAAAGGAAGAAAAGACTGAACACAGGGTTCAATAAATTAATTAAGTAGGTAGGCTGTTTTCCAAAACTGGTATCATTCCAGTTGGGAAAAAGGAGTAATTCAATATCCTACCCATTAGAAAAAATATGTAAAACAAATACATATATGTTTTTATATATGTGAAAGGAAGATTAAGAGTATGTAAGGAATGCTCCATTTCAAGAAAAATAAAGGTGTAACAGATACATGAGTGTTTACTTTATATGGACACAAAACAGCTCTGGAAAATATATTTAACTCTGGATTCTGGAAAGAACCAGGGCATTGGATTCAAGGTGGAAGCAGATTGCCTTTTCCCTGTATGCACTTCTGTACATTTCTACCATGGGACTGTATGCGTGTACTCTGTCCAACAGAGAAAATCCTCCCATCCAACAAGCATTCCTAATTTTTGTTATAACTTAGTCAGTAGCCTCATTCTTCATGGATTCCACATCTGCACAGTCACCTACTTTCTGACATCTGTTTGTAACTCCAAAATCAAGATTCCTTCTGCTTCTGCAGTCATTGCAGAAATTTTGAGCTGTCTAATGAGCATGTTCCCAGCTAAGGCTGAACACTTCTGGTTTGACAGTCGTTAATTCAGTGTAGACAGTGACTTCAGAAAACACACCACCACAAGTCATGAGAACTGACTGTACTTTTCACGGACCATAAATTCAAACTGACATTTTAAGAGTCCTTTTTCATTACTAGAAACACATTAAAATGACTCAAGGGAAATAATTTTTTTTTAATCTATGACCAGTTTGTTTTAATCTGAGGAGTCACCTTAACAGTTCTGAATTAAAATATCATTAAAAAACAGTAACTCAATGACATTGTCAAAACAGAACAGAGGTAACAAAAAACTTTTAATCATGACTATCATCAGAGAGCAAGAGTGACTGAACAGCGTGTTAGGGTCTGTTTCTCAGTTAGCTTAATCTACTCGAAAAGGAAGAGTTACGTATGAGCTCTGCCTATACCTAAGAAATTTTCATTTCTTGATAAAAATTTAACATATGAAAACTTAAGTCTGCAGTGGTAATGAGGTTAAATCTTTATCTCTAACATAGTAACAAATGCCAGCTAGAGCAAATTTTAGAAAAAGACTTACCCAATAATAGAGGTGGACTTCATTAAGTTAATGTTCCATAAATAATTGGTCAGGAACAGAGAACCAGGTACTTATTCCAAAAATCATCTGTCTGTAGCACTTTTGTGTTTTATGTGTCATCTTCTCTTGGGAAACTTTATAATAGCAATAGTAATCTACAAGGTCTACACAGGGCATAAGTGATAAGTACTACCCTAAATATCATCTGTTGTGGTCTATATGGAAGGCCATGAGGCAGAAGAGGACGGTTACTCACTCTGTCATGAAGGAAGATAAGAGCCAGCAATACGTCATAGATCCCAGCAGAGATCTCTGCAGCAGACAATGTTTTCAAAACTACTTCCAGAGGTTGCACTCGCTCAGTGACAAGATGAATGCCATCTGCTTCCACAGTACAAGATAAAAATCTTAGCAAGCAAGGGTGGCGAAGTGTCTTCAAGTGCTTCAAAATTACAAACAGAAGAGAAGGCGAAATCAATGACTGGAAATCAGATTAATCACAGTGTCATCTACACATCCCAGTAAAAGACAGAAAATTAATAGTTGTATTCTAATAATTGTATTCCTACGCCCCTACTTCCTCAATCACCCACATTTAAAATTAGCCTCTGAAAATCTGGTGGAAGGTCAGCTATGTATTTGTTCTGACTCAATAGCACCTAATAACAACAGGTAACTACAGAGATTTCTAGTTTCACAATGGCAGAGTATGCCCAGATTTCGTAAAGATTATAGCTATAAATTCTGAATTAATTTTTTTTTTACTTTTTTTTAATTTCAATGAACATCTACAGAGATTTTGGACTTCCATTCATTCATTGTTGCACTTTTCTCCCCACCCACCCCACCCCCACCCCCAGTTCGCTCCTCTCCTTGAAAAGCAAAAGAAAAACTCCTTCATTGGTACACAATCCCCCCGCATACCCCCAGCCCAACCCCACCCCGAGTATACTCCACTCTGCAACCCTCATTCCGGACTCTTATGATAATCATAATGCCCTAAAATATATTACTTTTAAACTATTCTCTCCCTCGTCGGCTTCAACGCAGTAAACATAATTTATCCAGTTTTTCTCAGTCTTACCCCGACCCTAACGTCAGCCTCATTCTACAACAGTGGCACCATATAGTATTTGTCCTTTTGTGACTGAGATATTTCACTCAGCATAATGTCCTCCAGGGTCACCCATTTTGAATAATATTGCATGAGTTCCTTGTTTTTCAATGCAGCGTAGTAAATTCTGAATTAAATATTTTTAAAAAACCCCAACAAACTGCACAATAATTGAAGATTCTGAAAAGTAAACAAAATCATGAAAATTATGGCAAAAGGTCAAAACCTGGGAGAAGTGACATTTATGGGAGTAAGGTTTCTGATTTGGAGATTTTTTCCACCTCATGTCTATGCCCTGAAGATAGGTCTTAGTTGTGTTACCCATGTAAGCTAAAAGAGAAACACTGTCATCTTTCTAGCCAGTCACTGGGACGAACTGGAACAAAATGAGGTATGAAGAAGATATTCTGGAGGGAATAAAGCTGTCCAAGGAGATTCCCTAATTCCCAGGTAATTCTCAGACTCATCTCTGAGCCAACCACACACAGAATAGGTATAAATGATGCACACCCATGTTTACTGCTGCTTTGTTCACAATAGCAAAGAACTGGAAACAACCCAGGTGCCCTTCAACAAACGAATGGATAGAGAAGCTGTGGTATATTCACACAATGGAATACTAGGCTGCACCGAAAAACAAGGAACCTATGAACTATTAAACAAAATGGGTGACCCTGGAGGACATTATGCTGAGTGAAATATCTCAGTCACAAAGGACAAATATACTGCACAGTGCCGCTGCTGTAAAATGGGACTGACATTGGGGTTGGGGGGAACCTAAGAAAAGAGGGGATAAATAATGTGTACTGCATTGAAACAGATGAAGGAGAGAATTGTTTAAAAGGAATATATGATTAGGTATTATTTTCATGACTAGATTCTAGAAAAAGAAATGTATAGTAAAGTGGACTGTAGACTTGGTGGGGAGGGGACTGTATAACAATGAAAGAATTTTTTTTTTCTTTTCAAAGAGAAAAGTCAACGGGGTGTGGGCAGGGAGGAAAATGTGCAACAATGAATGAGTGGGGAAAAATTAAATAGGAAAAATATGCTGTAAAATATATATATGTTGCATTAAAAATTATACTTTTTTACAGCAGTGGCACCATGCAGTATTTGTCCTTTTGCGACTGAGATATTTCACTCAGCATAATGTCCTCCAGGCTCACCCATTTTGAATAATATTGAACGAGTTCCTTGTTTTTCAATGCAGCATAGTATTCCATTGTGTGAATATACCACAGCTTAGAGAAGTGCAGCCATGAATGAATGGAAATCCAAATTCTCTGTAAATGTTCATTAAAATTATTAAATAAAAAAAAATCATGGATTGCCAACAGGAAAAAAAAATTATACTTTTTAAAAAAGAATAGGCATAAATGAACAAAAGAAAATTCTGAGACTTGATTCATTAAGTACAAGGAAGGAATAGAGTAGTTGAGAACTTCAGGCCCGGGCCTAACAGATGACTGTCTGTTAAAATTAATAATAATAATATAATAATATTAATAAAGTTGTTATTGTTAATTGCCAGCAAGCCGAGCACAACTCATATTGACCCTATGATCAAAAGATCTTCAGCCTTTCTAGAACTATCTCATTTATCAAAGTTCACAGAGTTTCCAGAGGCATGTTGTCTAGGAAGTGGATGCCACCCCTGCTTCCAAACCTGTCTTAAACTGGGAGCTCCAACAAACACTGTCGACCGTGGGTAACTATTATGGAATCTGACACCCCAATGGCATAAGGTTCAGCAGCACAGCACTCCAGCTTACCTCAGAACAGAATATTGACAGAAGAGTGCTATACCACTTAGAAGAATGTTCCTCCAAAATATAATAACAACTGACTTTTAAACACAAAGGCCCTCCCTGACGTCTTGTTGACTCTAAACAAGAGCCTTAAATAAAAAAAAACAACCAATATAGTAGCAGGACGGTGGCCATGGAAGTCGGAATCCGCTAAGGAGTGTGTAACAACTCACCTGCCGAATCAACTAGCCCTGAAAATGAATGGCGCTGTAGCGTCGGGCCCATACCCGGCCATCACCTGAGTTACCTGCAACATACAGCAACCCTACATACAGCAACTCTGAACTCTGACCCCCTCCCTGTCCTGGGCCACTCTCACTATTTCTGACACACCAACCTCTACTGCCCAACCACCCTTACTGTCCCTCCACTGGGCATGATGTCATTCTCCAAGGACATAATAAAAAACAAAGACATAATAAAGTTACTTTCAAGAAAATGAGAACAGAACCAAGAGTTGATACAACTGACATTCAGGATGCACCCCAAAATTATTCAACATAGAAAGAACCAGGAAAAGGAACCAACTGTTCATGGAAAATGCAATCAATAATGTAAATCATGAGATGATCCACCCAGATGTTAAGAGTTACCAGAGAATTTAAAGCCACTAGGCTAACCTTTCCTCTAGAGGTAAAAGGTAATAGCCATGAAACAAAGTTCTCAGCAGAAAAGTACAAATTATAAAAAAATAACTAAATGGGAATTTTAGAAGTGAAAAATGCAGTAACTAGGCAGTACCTGGAAGTTGCCATGGCCGAGATAAGGATGGGTAACAGAGGGGTAACAGGCCCTGTGTGGGTACAGTGGGTGCAGTACAAGTTTGGGGGCCTACAGGCCTGCCTCTTGGAGTTTCTTTATGGAGGGAGACACAGTCTGGTGTGGTTGGGCGCAAGCACACACACATTCCTGGGAGGTGGCCATCAGAAAGAAAGAAAGAGAGAGAATGAGAGACAGAGAGACAGACAGACACACACACAGAAGACAGTGCTCCCTGGTCTATTCTGCCTTAGGGTGACTGTCCACTGGCTTTGAATCTCTCCCCCAGAGCACCTGAGGGACACACACATCAGCCTAACAGCCTCCACTGCATAGAATAAAGATGAGGAAAGTGCCAATGAACCTAAAATTAGATCTACAGGAATCATCAAATGTAAAGAAGAAGGATGAGAGAAAAAAAAAAAATAAACATATGCTCCAGAATTTGTGAGATAAATACACAAAGTCAAACACATGTAATTGGGAGTCACAAAAACAAAAGCAAAAAATATTGTGGTATAAAATTTATAGTGTTGCTGGAAATCCCCCAAATTTGGACATATATTAGAGATACATTAGAGATTTAGGAATATCAGAAAACATTAATAGGATAAATTCAAAGACAACTATGACAAAGTACATCAACAACCCAGTAAAAACAAAAGATAAGAAAAAAAATCTTGAAAGCAGCTAGTGAAAAAGAACATAATTTATGGAGGGAAACAATAGTCCAAATGACTGCAGATCTATCAAATAATATAGAGGCCGCGGGGATGGGGGAGGTGGTGAAGGAATGGGAAAGATTCAATGGGACTCAAAGAGACAGGGTGATAATATGACAGTGACTGGATATATGAAACAGAGTACTTATGAGTGAGGGTATGAAATACAATGTAAGTGAAAGATTGTGTAAAACACAGTTCATATGAATGAAACATAAAATAATTTTTAGAAGAAAATACAGAGACCAAAAGATAGTGGGAGGACATCTTTAAAATCCTGAAAGGAAATATCTACCCTAAATCCTGTAACAAAAATATCCTTCTGAAATGAAGAGAAAAGTGAAAGAACTGAAATAAAGTAAGAAAATCTGTCAGCAGGTATGCTTTACAATATAGTTCACATATGCCTATACATCGTCAACCATAACTAAAGAAAATTAGGTATGGAAACGACCATAATTGCAAGGCTTCTGCATTTTATGTGAAGTGGTACACTATTAACTATAATTAAATTATGAAAGGCTTGCTTACATGTCCTCAACCCCTGGAAAAACTTTAAAACAAAGAAAAACATAGCCAAGAAGCCCAGAGAAACATTAAAATGAAATACTTTTTAATAATAAAAAACCCCAAAACCCACTACATCCTACAACTACAGAATACAAATTCTTTACAAGTGCACACAAAGCATTCACTAAAATTGACTATATGGTGTGTTATAAAACAATTTTAGATCCTTTAAATAGGTACAAATCAAGAAGAGGGTAGTTTCAAACCACTACGGTATTAAATTAGAAATCAGTAACAAAAAGATCTCTAGGAAAATAACAAATAATGTGAAAATTATACAAAAAAACTTATAAAGAATGATGAGTGAAGTATTAAAAAAAAATCAAAAAGTAGAAAATAATTTGAACTGAATGACTGTGAAGATGCACCAATAAACATTCAGAATAAGCTAAAACAATGTTTAAACCAAGCTAAATAAATATATTGTCTTTAAGTTAGTAACAATTCACAGAGACCGTGAGTTTGG